CTGATTTATCCCAGCAAGCCAGCAGTAGCTTTTTGGTGGGGTAGTGGATAATCTCAGCAAGCCTGCACCTTTGGGCCAAGACCAGACTCATTCAGCCTGCGGCTGTCATCACGCCTTCCTCAGGCCTGAGCCCAGCTGGGAGCTGCTAGATAGAGTTTGCAGCTGCTCTGAGCTCTGAGCTCAGCTCGCTCTCTCGCTCAGGAAGACTGAGCCCTCAGCACTCACCACCAGCTACTGGTGTCCTTCCTGTCCACTGCTCCCCCCCCACCACTGTGTCTCTCCCTGGAGACCTCTGGGGTCTCCAGCAGTCACTGTGTATCTGCAGGTTTGAACTGCTTCTCTCTCACAAAGAGTCCCATCTCAGGGAGAAGGCGCTGCTGGCTACGTTCTTCTTCTTTGTTGAAGTTTCTCCCTTTACTCTCTCTGCGGGCTTTAGTTTGTGTTTCACATCCTTCCTGGGTTCAGAGGACCACTTCCCTCCTTCTTGTCTTCCTCACATTGCTATGTTCCAGCATCTGGACAGTGACTCTCAGAGAGGCTCTTTCTCTGCTGTGTACCACTTTGCCATCTCGGTGCCTCTTTGGAGTTTTCATTCAAAAACAACTTACGGCAATACCATGTCATGCCCTAAAATGTATACTTTTTTTTTTTTTGTGGTACCGGGAATTGAACCTGTGGCCTTTGCTCTGAGATAGGATCTCACTAAGCAGCTGAACTGCCCAGGCTGGGTGGCAACTTTTGACCCTCCTGACTCAGCTTTTCAGAGTGCTGAGATGACAGGCGTGCAGCACTATGGCCAGATCATGTACACTTTCCTACTACCATCAAATATCAAGTCAGCGTTCAAATTTTCCTGATAATTTATTTTATTTCTTTGTTTTATTTTTCTCTTTTGAGACAGGGTCTCACTATGTAGTCCAGGCTGGCCTTGCACTCATGGCAATCCTCCTGTCTCAGCCTCCCAAGTGCCGGGACTACAGGTGAGGATAATTTAATAAAATTTTTTTTATTTTGTTTTTTTTCCGGTATCAGGAATCGAACTCATAACCTTGTGCTTGCCAGGCAGGCACTGTGCTGCTGAGCTAAATCCCCAGCCCCAATAATTTAATAAATTAAGAAATTCTTGTTTAGAAAATTGGTTTCCCTGAATCAGGATCCAAGTAAGAGTGCTATCGCCTTTGACTGACATATGGCTTAATTTATTTTAATCTGTAAATTTTTTTCTCCGCTTTTTCCCTTCCAATTCTATTTAAGAGATTTGAAGAGCCAGATGTGGTGGCACACACCTATAATCCCAGGATTTGGGAGGTTGAACCAAGAGGATTGCCGTGAGTTTGAGGCTATCCTGGGGCTACATAGTGAGTTCAAGCCCAGCCTGAACTTCAAAGCCTATCTATAAAAAAAAAAAAAAAAAAAAAAAAAAAAAGATTTGTGCACTTGTCCTCATTTTCTCTGACCCCATCCCTGGGGAATAAGGAATTCTGTGTCCTTTTCATCTAACCTAGCAAACAGTTTTCCCTCTTGCTCCGTGGTTTTACCACTTTGTGTGATTCTGTCCAGTGGGTGGACCACAACCTTTTTCTTGGGCTCTTAGCTGGCTTTGTTTTCCACTCTTGTGAATCCTGCTGGCATGACCTTCCTCACACACTGCAGCTTTTCCTGTCCATGGGAAGCTTCTCCAGAATGTGCTACCAGGCTGGGCATGATGTCCCACACCTGTAATCCCAGCACTCAAGAGGCTGAGGCAGGAGGATCACCACAAGTTCAAGGCCAGCCTGGGCTACATAGTGAATCTCTGTCTCAAAAAAACAACAACAAAAAAAAGTGCTACCAGGTGTGTCATCACTGCCTGAGGCACGAAGAGTTTTTCAGCTTCTCGGCACACAGTCCGGATTGTTTGTCCTGGGGGTTACCATTCGTCCTGAAGAGGCTCAGGGCTAGCAATAGTGCGAGAAGGCTGGGAGTCAGGGTAATTATGTGGGCCAGGAGCTGGAGAGCTAGAAAGACGGATGATGACAGGGACTGTGGCTAAATAAAGCAGAAAGTGATCTACAATGGCCCAGAGCCCCGGAGTGAGTCAGAAGCTTATGTATTCCTACTGTTGGTGGGGGGACCCTTGATAACAGGAGTCATTAATAGGTCACGCAGGTCTGCCAACTTTCCCACGGCCTGTGCATCCGTCAGAGCCTCATTAGTGATGGCGACCCGGTCTGGTCACTGCATTTCACAGAGATGTGAGGAGATTGGCCAAGACCCAGAGTTTGGCCAACTTGATGGAGGATGGACGAATCCCGGAGAAAAGTCAAGGCGTGGAGAAGACCCGCTTTGGAAAAGCCAGAGGTGCTGGCCTTGCCTTAATGCTGGGCGGGATTCTGTCACGATGTAACTCAGTTGTTTGCTTTGTCTGCAGACAGCTAACTGGAAGGAAAGGGACCTCCATCACCCAGCACATACTTTTGGGGGACACAAGGTGGGGCTTTTTCAGGGCCTGTACTGATGACCTACACTGCGGGGTAAGCGCTCTGGAAATATTTGAGAAGCTGCCTGCTCAGGGTTGTTTATTCTCAACTTCCTGGTGCCTGCGGGCTGCCTACGAGGTCCACTCCAGCTTTGTGGCAACTGATTCCGGGTAGCCCCCTGAGAAGAGGAGGGTGGGCAGTGCCAGAGCCCGGTAGCCTGGGCCAGCCTTCTGCTTTCTGTGCTTGAACATTCACTTCAGGGCGCATTTACAACCAATCAAGTTAGCATGCCATGGCATCAGTGGATCCTGCTATTCCAGCCCTGCCACACAGGGCAGAGTGTGGACTGAGAGGCGGGCGAGGGAGTGGAAACTACCCGGACAAGGCCCTCTTGTTGACATGGAGAGTGGGAGTGACCCAGGAGACATTAGGACCCATTTAGCTCAGCTTCCTCCAATGTAATAGGTGTTTTACACGCATGCTTTGGAATTCACACAACAACCTTGGAGATAGGGTTTCACAGGTGTGGAGCTGGAGATTAAGACGAGTAATTAGCTCAGGGTTAGATTGCCAGGGGCGTCTACATTATGTCTCCTCGGCTGTAAAATCTGTCCCCTCGCTTTTGGAGCATGCAGAGTTGAAAATTGCAGACCAGACCCTCAAAGCCACACACAGGGACAGGAGGCGGAAGCTCAGACTTCTCAAGAATGCTTAAAAAAAAAACAAGATGCCTTCTCTGACGGCTGGCCTATTCTGATGTCATGCAGGGAGCCCCAGGATGTGGCCGGGCCCAGGTCAGCCTGGGTCAGGCGTAGCTGAGAAGCAGGCCAGGTCTGGATGCCGTTCTCTGCCCCGCAGACCCTCATCTCAGCAAACGTCTGAAAATCCAATCCCCGGGGTCCACCAGGGCAAAAGGCAGGGCAAGCCAGGTTTCTGGAGTTGCTAATCTCGTGCCAGGGTTCAGGCAGTGGGGCGCAGTGGGGAAAACCGTGGCTTTGGGTTAGAACATCCCAGCATCAATCTACTGAAAGTTACTTAAAACTTCCCTCCTCTGCAAAACCCTGACAAGGGTAAACCATACTTCAATGGCGCAGGCGCAAAAGCTGGAATTGCTACACACCAAAGTAATACCGATCGATCTCACCATTGCGTCACCTGAAAACCTCCGCCATGCCCCAGCGAAGCCAAAGCCAGAGCCAGGTCAAATCTGGAGTTTCCCTGGAGGCTCTGGCCACAGAGGAAGCAGAGAACTACAACTCCCAGGGGGCGCAGCACGGTTCGGGTGTAAAGGCTGCGGGCAACTACAACTTCCAGCAGGCACCGCGCAGTCGGCGCAGGGCGTGACGTCACCATGGGGCCGGCGCAGGGCGCTGATTCGGTGATAGGTGCCAGCAGGGTGCCACCGCCGCTGGTGGTTGAAGCTGCTGGGGCAGCTGCGGTCCCTGCTCCCGGGAACCCGTCCCGGGCCCTCGACCTCCAGCCCCGCGCGGTGAGTCCTGACGGGCAGTCCTGGGGTGGCGGAAACGGGAGGCTCTGGGGCTAGAGGAGGAGCGGGGCAGAATGTGAGGGGGCTTCTGGGGAGGCACCCGAGCTGGGGGAGACCTGGGTAGGGTGACTGGGGGTCGAGGGGCGCGTCGCCGGAAGGGTGCCCACCGAGGAAAGGGGATCAGGAGGCCGGGGATGGGACGCGGGGTAGGAGCGCCTCGGCTGGGGGCGGGGGGCGGAGCGGCTGGGTTTCGGAGATAAAGGTTCGACTTTCTCCGGGCCGGGGGGACGCGTGGAGATCGGGGAGCGGGCCCGAGTGCGGGGTCCCTCCGGCTGGCGTCCCACTCTGCAAACCCCAACAAAAGCGAAGATCCGCCTCCTCGCTCGCCCTGCCCCCGAGGCAGCGAGGCTTCGCTTTCTTTCCCCTCCGCCTCCTCGCGAGTCCGGGAGGCTGGGCCGAGGGGAGGTGAGCAGCTGCAGCTGGGCCTGCAGGTTGGGGACGGGGACTGAGTGGAAGTGGTATCGTGGGGGTGCTGCTGCGGATTCCCGGTCGGGGTCCCCGGGGCCTGGATGGTTGCAGAAGGCTGTAAGTGAGCTATTTAAAGAGCTGCTCTTATCTGCGGGAAGGACTGGGAAACACCTCGCGGTCGCCCTGGGGCGCTCTCTGGTCCTCGTGTGAGTGTCCGAAGACTGGTTGAGCCGGGATTTTTGCGTGTAGAGCCCAGGGGGAAGAAGGAAGGGATAAGAGATACCAGCAGAAAAGTGGTTCGGAGAACAGAGTTGCTTCAGGCTCTGGTTTGAGACAGATTATGAAACCACATCAGGGGCTGCTGTTGGCAGCCACCTGCCAGCTGTGGCAGCAAAACTTTCCAGCCTCAGCCCCTGGGGAGCTGTCTGCCTCTCCCAACTTATTTCACCCCATTTCTCTACTTCTGGAAGAAGGGTCAGTTGATTACTACCCTTTTTTTTTTTTTTTTTTTTTTTTTTTTTGTCTTTTTGAGACAGGGTCTCGCTATGCAGTTCAGGCTGGCCTTGAGCTCCCTTTGTAGCCCAGGCTGGCCTGGAGCTCTAAACAATCTTCCTGCCTCAGCGTCCTGAGTGCTGGGATGACAGGTGTGCGCCACCATGCCCGGCAGTTGATTACTACTAAAGGACTTGAACCCACAGTCAGACGAAAGTCTCAAGAGTGCTTTCTGGCTGCCAGTCTTTTTCTTAGTTCACTGATGTTTTCTTTTGGGGGACCACTTAGTGTTCAGGCTTCAGGAAGAAGTGTTCCAGGGTTTTAGCCAGAGCTTAAGTCTAGGGCCTTCCTTGACTCACCGAGCTTTGTTGGGTGCCCTGCTACAGTGAGAGCGGGTATAGGGTCTTGTGATTCAGCACAGCATTCGGACAAAATCCTGGGGAGGACTAGAGGACTTTCTGCACTGACACTGCTGCAGGGCTGGCTTGTGGAGAAAAGCGGGGGGCAGCCGTTTCTGGTGAGAGCTGGGGAGTCTTCCTCTCTCCATACTGTAAGCCCTTAGGAGCCTCCTGTCTCAGGCGGCGCCAGCGCTGCCCCCAGCTGGAAGCATTTGCGTAGTAGGTGTCCCAGGGGCTGTGTTGGGGTAACTGAAGCCCTGGGGCCCTCACGAGGTAAACAGCTGATTTTCTAGTTCCCTGGGTTTCTGTTGGGCCCAATTACACTGCTTAATGGGGCCGGCTTCAGGAGTGTCGCTGCCAGCGAGTGCATCCGGCCAGCAGGGCAGCGGGCTGTATGTTTGCGTGTATTTGCGTGTTGAGAAACCACGTCGTGGGTCACATTTCGCTGGAGGCTTCCAAGATCAGACCTGCCTGGGAAGAGGAAACTTTCTCCCATGACCCTTTAAGGAAAGAAGTGGCCCCTGAGAAGTCTGGCTCCTCTGCAGACTGGGCCAGGGTCCTAACCAGAGGGGAGTGGCTGCCGCGTCTGGGGGACCGGCTGCAGCAGCGTGAAGGGGGTGGTCCCTGGATAGCCCTGCAACAGCTCCATCATCCAAAGAGGGGGCTGCTGCCATAGTGACCATCATGGGGACTTGAAGCAGGCAGGACCCTACTTCACATAGGTAGGTGAGCCTTCTGTCCCACCTCCTGCTGGCCACAGGACCCTCAGGGATGAGGGGCAAGAGGCGGATCCCTCTCCTCCCAACCGTTTCTGCCGGCTTAAGTTGCTGCCCCTACTGGAACCTAGGCAGCAAGCACAGCCCTCCTGGTTCCTCCCACCACAGGGCTCATCCCATGGGGCTGGGGAGGGAGGCAGGGCGGGGGCCGGAGGAGGAGCAGGGAGGCTACAGGCAGGGTCTGCTTTCCTTGGGGGAGGTGTTGATAGAGCTCCAGCCACCCGTGGAGCTGTGGGCACTGCCATGTTCTCTGTTCTCCTTTCCCCTCTCTCTGGCAGGGTAAGGGCCGTGGAAGTTTGGCAACAGAACGGGTGGTGTCGGGAGGGTTAGCCTGAGTGGCTGCCAAATGGGTAAAATGTCTGGATGTGTTTTTTTGTTAGCAGCAGGGAGCCTTCCAGGTCTGAGCAGAGGTTGACCCCAGCCTGCTGTTCCTCCTCCCTCCCTCTGTCCCCTGTTACCCTTCCTGGGCTGGGAAACCTAGGGCTAGAGAGTTAGAGGCGGGTGGAAGTGGTTGCCCCCGAACACCTCACCCACGGCAGCAGCCTGCGTCCACAGGCCCGGCCTCCCTTTACTCCCTAGGGAGCGGCTCGGGGAGGAGGTGTCTCTGTCCTGCCGGGACACCGAGTGAGAATGCTCGGGCCAGGCCTCGTCTCCCTCGTAGGAATGCTGGAGGGAGCGGGCTGGGGATGGACACCTCCTAATGACCCGTCCTCCCAGGCGCTGCCAGGGCATTGTCCAGAAGGGAGGACGTGCTGGGCAATCCTGTATTCATCCAGCCCACAGCGGACATGCCCAGAGCCAAGGCCACAGGCCTATCTGCAGCCTCCTCCTGCCTGAGTGTCCAAATGCCAGACCACTCCGTGGGAGGGGCTCGCGGGTGTGAAGGGACAGGGAAAGTGGCGGGGCCTGTCTCACCTGTGCTGCTTGTTTGCAGAGCAGCAGAGGGGTGGCAGTATGAACGTGGGCACAGCGCACAGTGAGGTGAACCCCAACACGCGGGTGATGAACAGCCGCGGCATCTGGCTGTCCTACGTGCTGGCCATCGGGCTCCTCCACGTCGTGCTGCTCAGCATCCCCTTCGTGAGCGTCCCTGTCGTCTGGACCCTCACCAACCTCATCCACAACATGGTGAGAGCCTCCCGCCGCCAGCCTCGGACCACACAGTGGGGCTGTGGGACGGGAGGAGCCTGCCAAACCTGGGCCCGGGAGCCGGGTGGCGCCCTGACGTCTGTTGCCAGAGCCCGAGCCATCGCCAGTCTCGCTGCCCCACGCCCTCCTGGGTCCAGCCCTGCGCACCTGCATGGGAAGAATCCAGTTTGCAGCTGGGTCCCTGTCTCCCGAACGGCACGGCTCGGGGCATTGCAAGGTGGCCAGAGAGCGGAGCCAGGGCGGGGGTTCTCTAGCACCCGGGAGTCCTGGGCCTCGCCTCATGCAGACACGCTCTTTCCCAAGCTGGCATGTCAGCTGTCTTCCGCTCTTGTCCCTCTCTGTCCTTGTCCACCTGCTGCCTCTAGGGGTAGGGAGGTCTGGTCCTTTCTTGTCTCCTTGCCCTTTCCGACTGGCACATAGAGGCTTCGATGGGGCTGGAGGGCAGCATCTCTGTGCCTGCTCTTTGATCTCTGCATGCCAGGCCTTCCCCCTGCCCTGGGGACCCCTTGCTCCATCCTGACCTCCTGCCTGTACCCGCTGCCCAGCAGAGGGAGGCCAGAGGTCACCTGGCACTATTACTGGGTAGAAAAGTTGAGCTGGGCGCCCTAAAGGGCGTTTTTCCCCTTTTATGGCCTGGGGGATTGAAGCCAGGGCCTTCACATTGAGCTATTTATTTTAAATTCTGAGACAAAGTCTCGTAACTGGCTAAGCTGCCCAGCCTGGGCTTGAAGAGCTTACAGTTCTCCTGCCTCGGTCTCCCAGAGTCCTGGGACTCCAGTGGAGCATCACCACGCCGGGCCCCCCAGCCCCTTGTACCCTCTAACAAAGCCCCTTCCCTCCAGGGCATGTACATCTTCTTGCACACAGTGAAAGGGACGCCCTTCGAGACCCCGGACCAGGGCAAGGCCAGGTTGCTGACCCACTGGGAGCAGATGGACTACGGGGTCCAGTTCACGGCCTCTCGGAAGTTCCTGACCATCACACCCATTGTGCTGTGAGTGCCAGGCTGGGTTGGACTCGGTGGGCAGGGCAAGGCCTGGGCCAGCCCGGCCCCGGGGGTGGTGCTGGGGAGATTTGGGGGTGGGGGAGGCAGCCGGCTCCGGAGAGGCCTCTGAGCCTGGGAGGTCCGATCTGGGCACCCCGGGCCCCCTCAGCCGTCAGGACGCTGCAGGATGAAGGAGCCCTTGCACTCCAGCTGTCGCTGACCTCTCCCCGCAGGTACTTCCTCACCAGCTTCTACACCAAGTACGACCAGATCCACTTCGTCCTCAACACCGTGTCCTTGATGAGCGTGCTCATCCCCAAGCTGCCCCAGCTGCACGGGGTGCGCATCTTTGGCATCAATAAGTACTGAGGCAGGGGAGGCGGACGCCCTCGCCGCGACGTGACGCTGAAGACGGAGCCCGGGAAGCTGCGGAGCCAGAGCGCCTCCTGGCCTAGTTTCCCCTCGCTTCCCCAGTAGCGACTTGGATAGCTTGTAGCGGGGTTGACGTGGGCCCCTGGGCTCTAACCCTTTCTGAATTTTTTGATCTTTTCTTTTTGCCTTTTGAGTAGAGACTCCATGGGGTGGTCAGGGAAGGGGCTGGGCTCTGGCTGACTGCAGACTTCGAGGTTGTTTACCCCTCACTAGTTTACCCAAAGCACTTTACCCCTGCGCAGGCAGCGAGGGACGGTACGCTTCTGGATTGCCCCATAGGTCTCAGTCTTAGGGTGGTGCTCGTGTTTTTGTACAGATTGCAGGAAGTGTGTGGTGGTGCCCGACCCCTGTCTAACACAAGCCTCAGGACTGGGCCGCTCCCCTGCAGCCTGCCCGGGTATGGGTGGGAGGTGAGCTGCTGCCGCCGGTCCCGGTGGAGGCTGGGAGAGGAAGTGGGGGGCCACACAGATGGGGTGTAGAGGGCTCAGGTGGGGAGCTGGGCCCAGCGTCCTCTTCTGGGCTGTGGTTGGGAGGGCAGCGGGCTGGACGGTTGTTTCCCCGGTGGGATGGAGGTGGAGCGGGGTGGGAGGCTGCTGCGGGTTTGAGGCTCCTGGGTTGGCGGGAGGGGTGGACGCACAGGAGGCCCGGCAGCCTTGGAAGCGCAAGTCCGGTTGGGCTCCGCCCTCTGTGGTGGTGTAGGGGTGTGGGGCGGGAAGCTTTGGCAGAAATGATGGGTGGTGGGGCCCCTGCTCACCCTGGTCCCATAACCTGTGGGCAGGCACTGGGGCAGGGCCTCTGCAAGGCATGCAGTGAGGGCCAGGGGGCCACCCCACACGAGGCTGCCGGGCTGCCGGACCGCTGCCCGAGCAGGGCACCGGAGAAGTGTGGAGTGGCTCCAGGCGCCACCCCTTCGTCCTGCAGGCCCTCAGCCTGGGCTGGACAGGAGCCCCCTGGCCCTGGCCCTGCGGCTGGGTGCCTCGCTGTGAGGAGCAGGGCCTGAGGAAGCGGGGCGGCCACTCACTCTGGTTTTGCCTCCTGGCCCTCCCCCTCACCCCGTGCATCATAGGGAACTTTCACCTTAAAATCTTTCTAAGCAAAGTGTGAATAGGATTTTTACTCCCTTTGTACAGTATTCTGAGAAACGCAAATAAAGGGCGATACGTTCCTGTTTCCTGTGTCCGGCTGGTGCTTCCTGGGGCTCCTGGGAGGGGGTGGCAGCCCTGCTGCGGCAGTGGTGGGGATGCTGGGATGCCATGGCCCCAAGGGAGCCATTGGCGGCAGCTGCAAGCCAGAGAGCAGGACCGACCGTCGGTGCCACTGGGGCCTGGCTCCTCCACAATAGGCCCCGAACTTCGGATCCACAAAGAGCCAGGCGAGGAGGGGGTGTGGTCCAGCAGTGGCTTCACAGGTGGAGCTGGGCTCCCAGAAGGTGCCCAGTCTTTCCTTCTGGACACTATCCCTCTCCTAAGGTCTTCCCCAGTTGCTTCTGCCGTGGGTGGGCTGCATTTTCTCTGGACCTGCCTTCCTCCCTTTGTTATGTTTTGTTTCTGTTTTTTTTTTTGAGAGAGGGTCTCACTGTGTAGTTCAGGCTGGCCTCAAATTTATGGTAATTTTCCTGCGTCAGCTTTCCAAGGACTGGGATTACAGGCGTGCACTGCCATGCCCCTTGCTTTCTCTGGGCCTTTCTGCCCGAGGGATCTTCACATTTCTTCCTTTGGCCAGGAGCATGACGGGGGAGGGAAGAAGCACCCCCAGGACTTGCTGGGGCTCAGCCAGGAGGGGAGGCATTCTGGGGGATCTGTGTGCTATGATCCATCTCTGGACAGGTGCAAAGCTCCAGGTGTGTGTGGGGGTCTCCCCGGTAGCGCATCCTGCTCTGGCCCTGGCCCTGGCCCTGGTCCAGTCTCGCCACATCCTTGGGGTGGTTCCAGAAGACAGAGGCTCTGCCTCAGTCCAGCCTGTGTCGTGTCCTTCCTGCGTGCCCCCCATGGGGTCCGCACAGCACAGGGAGGAGAAACACAGTTGGGGCCCAGCCGGGCCTGCGGGGCAAGGTTGTGTCAGCAGCGGTCTGTTCCAATCCCAGCCTGCCCCTTGCCAGCAGGTGGCCTTACCAGGTTCCTCCGCTGAGCCTGAGTTTCTCCCTCTGCTGTATCAGGAGACAACTTCGAGGGGCTGTGGGCATCAGCACAGCACCTGGCAGGAAGCACTTCGTGTGTGACACCCACATGACTGTCATTGTAACTGTCACCACTTCCTCAGATGTTCTTCCAGACCGGGGGAATACAGAGGTTGAAACAGGCTGGGCTCACCCGGGGCTCATCTCTGAGGACGACACAGGTGCCCGGAGGCCTGTCCTGGAGGAAGCGGGTGAAGGGGGTCTGCGCCTCCCTGCGGGGGATTTGGGAGGGGGGGTGGGGACAAGACTGAGTCCTTAGGGCTTCCCCAACCCGCCCTCAGGAGCTGCAGGTGCTGTGCTGCTCACCGCAGCGCTGGGACAGCGCGTTCTGAAGTCACGCCACACCCACGGTGTTGTCGCTGGCACTCAGCTGCCCCCGACCCCTCTCCCACCCCACCTGATTGCATGGCTCAGACTCCCCTGGGGGAGCAGGTCTCAGGGTCTCTCTCCTCCGGGTCCAGTAGGAAAGGCGGGCTCTGGCCTATCTGTCTCCAGTCGTAATGTGGCTCATTGGCAGGCCCAAGGTAGGGGGTGCCAGCATTGCCCGGCCTTCCCGGGGTGCCGCACCTGGACAGTCCAGTTATTCCCATTCCTGGTGAGCAGCTGACAGAGGCAGTAGCTGGCCTTGGAGATGGGCCTGTGTTCTGGCACTGGCTTTCCAGGCACCTGGAAGAATTCCTAGGCCAGGAGAGGCCGAGGTGGCCATCATGATAGGAGCAGGGGCAGTGGGTGAGTAGCTGCCCGGCCCAGGCAGGAGTCCACGCGGGGAAGCAGGGCCCAGGATGCTTCTGTTTCCTTCCGAGGCCACCGTCCATCCCGTCGTGCAGGGCTTGGTAGGAGGCGCCCATCCAGTTGCCTCAGAGACAGCAGAGAAGGGAGGCTGGGGACGGGCCAAGAGAAGACGCCGCCAGATGGGGCTGGGAGGGAAGGCTGACAGTTGCTTGCGGACGGTGGGCCCCCTCAGAACGGGGCAGCTGTGCTCTGGGACGTGCAGAGAGCAGCTGTCGTCTTCCTGTCGGGGACAGCCCCACACCATCGTTCCCCCAGACAGGTTCCCTGAGGGGCGGAGCAGGGTCTGGGACCTGAGGGGTTCGCTCTTCCTTACTGTGAAGGCAAACCATTCCAAGTCCTACTTGTCCTCTAATCCTTGGCTTCTCCTTGACCCTAGGCTGCCAAAGGTGAGAAGATTTAAAACCCTGAACCAATCCCCTGAGGAGGTATCCAAGCACACTGCCCAGCCTATCCGAGACAGTCACAAAAGCTGTGGTCCAAGAGGTGCGTGGTGGGAAGGACACGGTTGCTCTCACCAAGGTCCCTGATGCTGGAAGCTCACACTGCTGGCGTCGGGAGGTATAGAGGAGGAGGGCGCTGTTCGGGAGCCACTACTGCTGTGTAGCCCTCGCCCTGCAACACGCCCCGGAGCAGGGCCGCGGCCTGGATGAGCAGGACACTGGGCCTCCAGGTCAGTAGGAGGCGGTGGAGGTGGCAACAGCTGGGGGCCTTGCCTGCCTCTGCTTCATCCCATTTTTGAGTCCCCGATGCCAACAACTACAACACCCAGCCTGACTACGTCTCTGTGTCTGCACCCTGAAGTCCAAGAACCCACACGAGACTAACACCGTGGGAGGAGAGAGATACGGTTCAGCGACACAGCGCCTGCCTGGCAAAGCACGAGGCCCTGAGCGGGATTCCCGTGACCCGCTCCTCCAAAAGAAAAGAAAAAGAGGGGGAGTAAAATGTATTCATATTGGAAACCGTTCCTACACAGTCCTCCTTTCCCACCTTTCCTCTTTATGAACAGTTTCTTTTAAGTTAGCTGAGTTCTCCTCGTGCTTACACAGAGGAATAAATGGAGGCTCTTGGCTTGGTGGCTGAAGGAAGATGCAGACTTCAGGGCTAGGGCCGCCTGGGTTTGGAGTCTGGCTCTGAGACCGAGGATCTGGGTGACCTCTGGACACATTGCTTCAGTGACCTCATCTCTAAGAATCAGATGAGAATTAATTACATAAATCATTTATCAGTGCGCTGGCCCGGAAGGGACACTAAGTAGCAGTCGGCCGTAACCACCCAGGTGGCTGGGGCTACTAGTTACCCCTCCATGCTCCCTGGCTGTCGGGACTGTGAGGGAAGTTGTGGGTTTGACGGAATTTATAGTAAAGTAAGTTACTCCACTCTCCTGTGTCAGAACCCAGCAATTCCTGGCGTCACTTAGGTGTCAAAACCCCAGGGTAAGTGTGGTTAAACTCTCCCTTGGTGCATTAGTTAGGGTTCTCCAGAGAAACAGATCCAGTGTAACACATATGTGCAGTTACACAAGGTATTTATGAAGTAGGCTTGTAGGCTCAAAAGTGGCCATTGGCCAGATAAGATAGGGACGATCCAAGATGGCCGTGTGCGCACAGAAGAGTGGGAGGACCCAGGAACAGTGGAAGGTCAAGGGCGGGAAGCTTGCCGCCGTCACCGGTGAGAGTCTGAGTCTGTGCTGGAAGCCAGAAGGAACTAGAGGCCAACGTCCAAAGGCAATAAATAGGTAGTGAAGTCTAGACTTCTCCAGCAGAGGAAACATTGCCTCATTTCTCTTTTGTTCTACCCAGGCTACAAGCTTATTGGTTGCTGCCACCCACATTGGGGGCGGGACTTCCCTCCTCAGTTTGTGGCCTGCTTGTCAATCATCCAGATACACCCAGGGCTTTAACTAACCTGCCGCGCGGTTCTTACTCAAAAAGGGTTGACAGATGGTGATTAAGGATTACACGTGGAAACCCGTTTCAAAGTCTCTCTCTGAAATAGAGAGGAGTTTGCTGCATTTCATGTTAAAAAAATGAGTTGTATGGCTCAGACCCCTCTCATACAGCCCAGTTCTCCTTTGGTCTCACACCAGGAAGCGTGCAGGAACCCTGCCAGGACCCTGAAGAATTTGGAAGCTTCCGCCTGTGCCAGCCCCTGCTGTACTGTGCCCAGGAGCAGCGCCTGGGGTAGGAGGGTGGCAGGCCTTTCTACCGGGGACTTTGGTTAAGACAGTAAGGGGCTTTAGGAGAAGTTTGGGCTAGCAGCTCTCAGAGTCAATTCTCTGAAAAGCGAATTGCTAGGAGCCAATGTACTGAAAACCAGTACTCAAAAAAATTTGGTTTGTGAAGCGATCATTTCACCGAGACAACACACACAAAAAATACTTTTAACTTGGTACTGCGATGCTTTGCAACAGATTCCTGAGGGACAGAGGTAAAGTGTGAGTCTGTAAAAATTTTAACTAAGACAGTGAGCTTCAAAGAAAAGCTTGTTTGCATACAAAATTTAGAGGTGGAGGTGCAAACAAACTTCGAAAAAAAATCCTCACAGTGTTGGAAATTTGAATCATTTTTCAGCAACTTGGTTTGCTCCTTTTTCTTATCTTTTTTTTTGGTGTTTTGAGACCCCAGCTGGTCTCAAACTCACTCTGTAGCCCAGGCTGGCCTTGAACTTGAGGTGCTCCTCCTGCCTCAGCTTCCCCAGTGCTGGGATTTTTCTTTTTAGATGGGATCTCGATATGTAGTTCAGGCTGCTGGCCTTGAAATTACCACCACACCCAGGGGTTTGTTCCCTTTTCGAACAGATTAGTTAGTTATGAACTACATGGCTCTGATGGTGTGGTTATTTGCATTTTTAAAAAACTAAAACGTTTGTACTTTTTTCAGATTAAGCGGACGTGTCTCCTTTGGCCTCTCGTGGTTCTGACCATTTCTCAGACTTCCCTTGCTTTAGACCGCTGTGGCAGCTCTGAGCAGACACATGTAGGAAGGCCCCCTGTTGGAATCGGCTTGATTATTGTCCTCCATGTGGCTCAGCTGCGGTTGTGGTTTTGGGCGGAAGACCACACAAGGGCGCACGCCATCCACATGCCCTATGGTGCTGACCTCAGTCACCTGGCTGGGGTCGTGATCCTCAGCTTTTGGTTTCTCTCCCTCCCTTCTTCGTAAGGGTTTGTGTCCGTAAGGCTTTCTTTTTCTTTTTTGT